CCGGGGAGGCTGCCGCTTCCCGCAGGATACATATAGAGACGTCAGGGGAACCCCTGAGAATCACAGAATCAATGAGGTTGGAAAAGACCTCCAAGATCATCAAGTCCAACCATCAACTCAACACCACCATGCCTGCTAAACCATGCCCTGAGGTGCTGTATCTACACATTTTTTGAACGCCTCCAGGGATGGTGACTCCACCACTTCCCTGGGCAGCCTGTTCCAATGCCTGACCGCTCCTTCAGTAAAGATATTTTTCCTAATATCCAGTCTAAACCTCCCCTGGCACAACTTGAGGCCATGGCCTCTCATCCTATCCTACCAGAGCAGCTGCTGAGTGCCCACGCTATGCGGGTTTACGGGGAGTCACATGTCCCTGTCCTACCACGCACACAGAGCACGTTTACGTGCAGGAGGGATGAGCACTCTGCAGCGAGGGACGGGGCAGAGGGGTAAACTCGAAGAAATCGGACCAATTTCGCTTCCGCTCTTTGCGGCAGTGCCATTCGGAGGCCGTTCCCGTGGGGAGTGGACCATGGTCATTACCAGGTTAGCATTTCTACAGTCACTAGAGACGCGCTGTTGTGCCCACCCAGGTGGGATTCTGCCCCGGTTCCCCGGTGGCATGGCTCCACGCGGTCCTGCTGCTCCTCTCTCGTGCACGCGACGGCAATGGGGGTGAAGCACGTCGCACGCACATCGCATTCCCTGCCTTTAGGCACTACAGGCTGACTGTGCTAAGCTGGACGCCTGGTTCCTCTTCAAGACAAATTATGTCCTGTGGCGTGTACTAGAAAAAAAAGTGAATCATCACTCTGGGGCGGCTTTGACACCACCAGAGTTTCAGGGCAACCCCATCCGCACGGCAGTCTGAGCAGGGCGTCAAGCCCGCGCTCTGGCAGGCCCGCTCCCCCCCTTCCCTCCCCCAGGGTCCCAGACGGCTGCTGAGGAGCCGAGACCCCTGCCCCGGAAAGCCTCCCGCCGCCTGGCTCCTGTCCGCAGGAGGCGGGGAAGTGGGGAGGCCACGCTCTGCTGCTCCACGGGAATCCCACCTGCGCAAAGCTGCGGGCTGGGGCAGGTCTGCAGGGCACCCCCAGAAATGTTGCTTGCCCAGGAATTATGCCTACAGGAGAGGCATCCTCTGCCAGGTCCCTGCTGCCCAGCCATGATGGGCTCCGGGTCTTTGGCATATAAAAAAAATATTTCAAGATTTTTCCCCCTTTTTTCCCTTTCTGCCTTAATTTTTATTTTAAAACAAGTCAGACTGATGTTTCCAAGCTGCTGCATCTTCAGTCTGTAATTATTCCGGACAAAGGAGCTGTGTCTGACTACTTGAATTCAGCTGCAAGACAACAGCCTGTTGAGCACCACAGCTCTTTTCGCAAATGGATTAAAAGGAAGTTTAAAAATGCGTGAATTTTGTCACCCTTCTAGCTTATCACTCACAGCAGAAATACATGTGCCAAAGCAACTTGCTAACTAGAGCTGCAACAGCCACTCTTGAACAGGGTAAGGAAAAAGGAACTTCACACTTCGCAAGCAGTGAGGTGGGTTTTTTGTTCCCACATCTCTCTTCCTTGTCTCTGTTCTAAAACATCCATTAGAAATGCCGTTGAAATAAATGGACAAATCAGGCAGAAACCCTGTAGCTGAATTTTGCCTGAGGCACTCAGCAGTGTCAACATATTCCTGCTTGTAGAAGAACTATAAAAGGAAAAAAGCAGGAGAGCTGAGAATAAAGTATTTTTCTGAGGAAAGGGAATGGCTCTTATATATTGACAGTAAGTTCACATGACTTGAGAAACTAAAATGGATGCCCTAATGTGCCCACTGGCTTTTTAACCTGCTCTCCTGAAAGAAACAGAACCTGTGCTGTTGTACTGGATATTCACCCATCAGCCTCTCGCTAACAATTTTTCAGCCTATCGACCAACTCCAATCACGCCTTCGGGAGCAGGAGAAACCTCAGACTTCACGCTCCCACGGTTTTGAGAAGGCAGTGGGTGGAACACGGGGCTCCACGCTGGCGAGGAGCGGCTGGCAGACCTCACCAGGCGTGTGGCTGGAGGGCCGATTAACACTTTGCCTAACTGGCGTCAGCTCAGCCCAGTGTGAGCCATCTTCTTTAGGGTGCCAGGGATGACCAGGGCAGACGAGACTTCACGTAAAAAGACCTCAGTCTTTAGCCATTACGCTGTACTAGTTCCTTGCCCAGGGAGTGACTTCTTACTCCCAGAGGTACAAATAGCTTTTTCACCATAAATATTCACTGTAACCTTAAATATAGAGCAAACTTGTTAGGCAGATGACTTCTGTGCTTCAAAACGGTGGGGTTCTTTTTTAGTTATTTCCTTTAAGTGCTTTGCAAGTGCTTTAAGTGGCATAAACCCCAGTGTTTGGGTATTTGCTGTAGTGCAGACTATCATTGCCCGCCACAGTCCATCCCCAGGATTTGGTGGGCCTTGTCCAAATTTTCTGGAGGTTCTAACACAGACTTTGCTAAAAATGAGTTCAGCTCAGTGTTCTTTCCACCTAGCCCCCCTACCTCTTCAGATGTGCCATGAGATACCGTAGCGTTTCACAGTGTGCTGGCGGGAGCAGTTTCAGCGCCTCATGGAGAATTTCCAGCTGTTCATCCGGATCGGTGGTTTCTGAAACACAGATGTTCAACTGTTACCACACGTACAGCCAGAACTCACACACAGAAGGACAACGGTGGTGGCCTGCAGAGAAGATAGGGTCTCACAGCTCTGCTGGATTACTGATTTCCAGAACCTACCCAAACCGCATAGCAGAGGATTTGCCTGTCCAAAGGGACACCTAGAGCACCACCAGGATTTGACTGGTTTTGGACAAAGAAAACTCTCCAACGCAGACTGCACGCCACCAAAAGATTCCCTGTAGCCTACTAAAAAAAATTCCCCTGGCAATCCTTGCTGACTGGACTAGTTTTGCACAAATAATTTACAGGTGCAACCCTGGGACAGCAGAAGGTACCAGGAACTGTGCCACCAGCATCTTTGCTGCGTCCACACTACTTGGAAAGAGCCTTCTCCAGAGGAGTGGCCAGGCCAGCGCCCAGCCCTTGTTTCCCACCGACGGCTACACCTTCCCGGGTGCGGCTGGTGTGACTGCGACACTGCAGAGATGCTTCAGGCAGCCAGGATGCTTGGGAGAGATGTTCCAAGCTGGGCTTGCCGCCGTGCCTGCAGACTCACTGTCTGCAAGGCCAGCCTTGAAGGTGGCCTTAGGATGAGAGCTTATGAGCTTATGAAAACACTCCGAATGGACACTTCTAGAAACAAACGATTTATTATCTTATTTCTAAATGTTTTCACTAACCACCTTCTCTCCAGCAACATAAACCCAACAGACTTTAAATGTCACTGTACCAGAGACTCATGCAACACATACAAAGCGATGTCATCCATAACATGCGACAAAAAGGAAGCATTCCTGGTGACAAAGGCAAAGCAAAATGTAACCGCGATCACACGGCACCACACAGACATGTCCTAAGGTGCAGGACACTTTTACTCCTGCAATCCTTACTAAATAGGGCATGCAGGGCAAGAGCTGATGGGACAGCTATTAAATGAGTAGGCGAGTACTGCACAAAAAGGAGAAGAAAAGGTTGAGAATGAAAACCAGGGGCAAAATGCGTTCTACTTACTTGCAGACTCTATAAACTTTGGGTAGGCATCATATGTGATGAGTGGAATTGGCAAATCCCTGAAGTACAGTTTAAGTGCACCAGTGATAATATTGATATCTTCATACATATTCACAGAAATATCAGCTTTTTCCCCATCTGTGTGGAGAAGGCACTGACATTAAAAGCTTGGAAACGTAAACAGATGTAAATCAGCATTCAAAATAAAAACAGTAACTTGCTTAAGCAAACATTACTAAAAAGGACACAACTACAGATTTTGGCTTTTATAGGCAAAACAGAGAGTTACTGGGCTGTGAAGTTCAGAATTTCAGGATGAAAACCTCAACATTTTATAAAGAAACCTATCCTTTCTTGGTTCCAAATGATTCCAAAAATGCAAGGTTTTTTTTTGGGAAAAAACCTGCCTGCCTGATCTAGCAGTATCTATCTGGTAGAAATGTGTGGAAGTTTAGCTATTCCTGAACACGCTGCGCTGCCAAACAACACATTTGTCAGCACTGAATAAGAAATCAGGGGAGTCTGGGAAAAAAAGTGAAAGAAAGAAAATCAACTTAATCCATAGCCTCCTCATTTTATAGGAAAAACATGTGTTCACCATTTAGCTATAGCATACTACCTACTCCTGACCGCAGCGGCCACAGATCCAGATCTTGGCTTCCCCAGTGCATCCCCGCCCTGCTAACGCTGCAGAGGAGGCAGATGTTGTCTGAATAGGTCCAGTCCTCCAGAGAAACAGGAGAGAGAGTTTCCAGCATGGATTTTGGCCTTGATTTCTACCGGGACAGGGGGACTGCAGCTGGAAAGCCTTTAATTTTCCCACTGCCTTTTCTCAGAGAGAAGAGTTCGTTCTCAGTGACCTTCTTTTAGACTGTAATAATTCAGACTTTGCTTGCACTATTGTATTCATCTTATTATTTTGGAGCTTTCATCCAGAAAGGTGGATTTAAGTTGCACAGCCCTCTTCAGGCTCGCCCTACTACTCGCCCTCTATCCCTCCCCCATCCCCCTGAGCGTAATCGTACTTCCAAACTAGGGCAGTAGATCAGAAAGTTTTGCCCTTTCCTATGCACGTCATTACTGAAGCACAGATACTGATGGAAGGAGAAAAGTAGATTTTGGTAACACAGGCCAAAGTGAAGCCGATACGCTTTTCCTGTGGGGAGGCTCCCCTTTCGCGAGCACAGGCGCCAGAATCCCTCAGCCCACTGAGGCAGTGGAGCATGAGGCAGAGAGCAGCTGTGCAGAAAAACTGCATATATTTAATACATCAGCACAAAGTTCCAGCATGCAGTAAAGACTGTACCTCTGTCAAACGCCATTTTGACATCTTCGATAAGATCACTAAATCCTGAGACTCTGTATAGTCCTTCAGAATTAAGACCTGCAACAAACAATTTAACAAGATTAAAATTAGTCTTCATTTTACAGTTTCCTTCTACCCAGTTCTTCCTTTGCCAGCTTTTTCATTTAAGGCAGAAAAAGCAGACATGTTTTAAAAACCTTATCAGGCTTTTCTTTCAGAATGAAATCTTATCCTGGCCTTTTAACCCTGACCCTTGCATTAGCTGCCTTATTATATCAGCACTAAATTATGTTTACACAAACAGTTTCAGAGCTGAAGAAACATTAAACCAATTACTACTGATTTAAAAATAACTGAGATTAGCATACTTGATGTTCAGACATTATTTAAGAGTACTTTATTTCTAGAAAAGGATACTTAGTGTGGGCTAGGGGAACTAGCAAGAGAAAACACATCAATGCTAACTGCCTTTGTTTTAGCACATTCACTTATTTTTTCTAGTAAAATATATTACTGGAAAGATAGCTGCCAATATATAACTATAAAGCAGTAATTGTCCCTTAAGCAATTTCTACCAGAATCTATAAAAATTATAAATGGGTATGAACCATGAAATAATGCAAAGTATAATATTAGCTGTGCAGGGTAATTGGCAGTCATAAAATGTCTTGTGCATATCTGTTGTGAGCAATCATACATTCAGCAGAAACCCAGATGACCCAGATCAATCTAAACGGATTATCAGTAAAGCCACGCAGGTCCATTAACTGTGCCTTACCTCTAGATTCAATTTCCCTAATGCACATATCTACTACCATTGGTCTCTTCGTGAAGTGTGCTTTTACTAGCGTCGTAAGGTCACAGCTGTACACCTTTTTGACATGCTTCAGGTCTGGCTTGCAGTCATTTGGGACCATCTTGGAACACTGCTTGTGCACATTTAAACCACAATCTGAGAGAAAAATGAGAAGATGATTAGGCTGGTGTTTGGTGGAAATGTATCCCCAGGTCAGTACTGTGACGTACGTATGGCCGCAGCTCGCAACTACTACTTCTGCTGAGACCCCTTAACCATCAGATGCGTGAGGCAGGGACAGACCTGCAGCCAGGCAGATTTTCTACCCAAGACAATTCTTCTCTCCCTAGAAGACTGAACACAAAGCGACAAACTTTCCCTATGGCTTTTCCAATCAGGATCTAACGGTTGATTATGCTCCCCACCGCTATCGCATACATTGCTACCACGGTCTAAACTTCCTTCCCAGGTTGCTGCGGATTTCCTAACACTTACAGTTCTAACGTAGAGCTGAGCTGTGGCGCTTGGGATACCTCCCAGGGTGACCGAGGCAGATGGAGACTGGGTCTCGGGAGGCCACAACCCCTCTGCAGCGCACGCTGGCAAGGCAGCCCTGAGACCCGACCCGCTTTGGGGACCCCTGTGCTCTCGCCAGGCATGGCAGCCCCTGCTCCGCGTGGCAAGCGACAGGGCCCACTCCCCAGCTCGGAGGGGAGCTGAAAACCAGACTCGGGGCTCACCGAGCTGCTTGGTGGTTTCTTGCTACCGTGCAGCTTACAAAGGACTTTGCTAAGGCACAGCCGCCGCAATTCTGAGGCCGTTTCACAGAGTGCTTCTGACACAAAGTGCTGGCAGGTACCAAACCAATTCTATTTACTTTAAAAATTACTTCAGAAAAATTTGGTTTTTTTAAAAAAACATAAACCTTCACAGCTTTATTGTAAACATACCAAGAATGAGATTTAGTTTAAGTGAAACTTAATTGAAATCAGGTTACAGAAGAATATTTGTTCTGCTCAAAACCACTCAAAACATCAAGCTCAGGGTTTGGGGAAAAAAATCTTGGAAAACACCACCCATCGTACAGAGCAGCTGGGCAGATCAGTACAGCCCCCTCCCCTTAAGCTAAGCACACGCTGCAAATCACACTACCAAGCAGCCTCCTGCGCTGCCCAAGGCAGCCCCAGTGACTCCATTTTCACTGCTGTTCCTCCCATTTTGCAACGGAGACCCACGGGTGCCTGCAAGCAAGCAGCAACCAGTACGAAGGGCGGCACATCACATCCAGGGCGTCTGCCACACACTCGGCTTACACCGAGACTCCAGCTCTGCAAGCATTTCTCTACCTCACTGCATTGCCATACGGAGTCCCCTGGGTTTCTGCGGAATTACAGGATTTAGGAACTTGAAGGATCAATGCCTCGAGGAAAGCCTGTACTTTCTCTGCAGCTGCAGTACTGAGTATCTGTCTATGTAGATTCCCTTTGTACTTCATTCCTGCCGATTTTGCCAATACTTGTATCTCATTAATGCTCCATAGGTTGACGTTGTTCTTTCCAAAACAGTAAATGCCAGAATTCATCGCTAAGTTTAATTTCCACTGCATCAGCTGCAACCTGCTGCTGAAGTCACTTTTTTTACTTAACAGGCACCCAGCTTTGTTTACTTGGGATCCTCTGTAATCTCTGGCTGCAATTACAGTTCAGCATGTCACCTTCAATCAGTCAAAACTCACACAGCCCCTGATTCAGATGAAATGCCTGATTAAAACTCTCTTGAGCGATTTCTGTGCAGCAGGGAGTCCCCTCCTTCAAAGGAGCGGCTGACGTGCGAGACAGGGCGCTGCGAATGCTGGATTTCCCACCTGGCTGTGATTTTGTGCTGCGAACCCCACCTTGGGCAAAGCCACGCACCGCAACGACCGGCCCCTGCAAATCAGCCGTGCTGGCCGGGGCACCAC